AAAAATTAAAAAATAAATGTATGGGGTTGGTCCACAAAGGTGTTACAGAGGAAAGGATTGTGAAATGAGTTTCACTGTCGCTGCTCTTTTCTCAGTTTGTTAGCTTTGGGACTGAAGCATTTTGAATGTACTGTGTTTCCTAAGCCTCTAATCAGCAAGTACCTTCTAACCTGCAAGACTGTTCACCAGCTGACTGTGAGGATCAAGAACCTAACCCTGAGGAAAGCTCCTGACAACATCCTTAAAGTGAGTGCTCTTTGAAAGCTGCACCTGCTGAACTAGGATATGGCATCGTGATTTTTTTCCTCTTCTTAGTCTCAGTAAAGAAAGAGCCTTCTTTTTATCCAGGGCTAATTTCTCTCACCCAGGTACTTACTTGACATTAATTAATTACTTTTCTCTCGAGTGTCTTCATTCTTTCCTTTCTTTATAGGTATTTTTCCTGAATATCTAATTGTCTAAGTCTGTCCCAACTGGAATAAAATACAGTATTTCTTGAACCTTTGTTAACCTTGAATCCATGGTTGTACTAAGACACTACTCAGCAAAATAGGATGTAGAACTGTCTTTTTTAAAAAAAAATTAATTTTAATGAAAGTTTATAGAGACTTTGGATTTCTATTAATTTTGCACACTTTCCTTCCTGCCACCCCTCCCCCACTTCGCTTTTTTTCTCTTTGAAAAGTGAAAAAACATTCTTGCATTGTTATACAGTCCTCCCCCTCCCCAAGTCCACTCCACTATGCAGCTTTCATTCTGGACTCTTGTCATGACAATAATACCTAATCATATATCCCTTTTAAACGGTTCTCTCCCTCATCTTTTTCAATGTAGTATACTTTATTTATCCCTTCTTTTCTTAGTTTTCCCCCAACCCCATTGTCAGTCTCGCTTTACAACAGTGGCACTATGCAGTATTTGTCTTTTGGTGACTGAGATATTTCACTCAGCATAACGTCCTCCAGGGTCACCCTTTTTATATAATAATTCATGAGTTTCTTGTTTTTTAATGGGGCACATTATTCCATTGTGTAAATGATTATACCACAGCTTCTCTATCCATGCGTTTGTTGATGGGCACTTGGGTTGTTTCCACCTCTTTGCTATTGTGAACTATTGTGAACTTTGCTATTGTCTAATAATACATTCCTTTCAGACAGTCCTTCCCGTCATGTGTTCCAGTGCAGCATTCATTATCCATTCAACTCTCTTCTTGTTCCCTCCCTCACCCTCTGTGTCATTCCGATTTTATAACAGCAGTGTTATGTGGTGTTTGTCCTTTCGTCAGACATTTCACTCAGCATAGTCTTTTCCATACTTACCAAGGAAACACTGCATGGTTCAAAATTGGGAAGGGTGTATGACAAGGATATGTCCTATACCCATACCTTTTTAATCTATATGCAGAACAGATTATCTGGGAGTCTGGGCTCTATGAGGAGAAATGTGGCATCAGAATCGGAGGAAGATTCATCAATAATCTGCATTATGCAGGTCAAGGACTGCAGCCTTCGAAATGGATTGAGGCTCAATATCAAGAAAACAAAGATTCTCACCACTGGGCCAAATGATAGCATCAGGATTGATGGTGAAGAGCTTGAGATTAACAACTTCAGTTTGCATGGATCTACAATCACCACTCTTTTTTTTATGGAAAAGTAAAAGAAAAGATTCTTTCATTGTTTTACAAACCCTCCCCTAGATCCCCTCCACCATGGAGCCATCGCTCTAGACTCCTGTGATGACAGAAATACCTAGTCACATATCTCTTTTAAA